TAAGAATTAATGAAGTCAATAATACATCAGTAAAGCGGTGAAAACAAGTTACTTCCGGCCATTCGCAGATCCTCAAGCCCTTGTCAATAATAACGATGACAAAACGAAAGTAAAACAAGGAGAATTTCAAAAGAGGAATGCGGAGTTAAACAAAACTCCACAAAGTGATGATCTTTCAGTTGCACAACTTGGCAAACAGCTGTATACACTTAAGGGATGGGTTGACTAGAGAAAAAAAAACTAAACAAAACAATTCTGGCATAAAGCATGTAACAATAAGGACAGAGAATTTTTGCATAAAAAGGAAAAAAACCTAAAGGCCATTCTGAAAGAAAACCGTGGAGCCGAAACAGACGAAGATAAAATATTCATGTCGATTTTTAAACAGGTTCATCATCCAAAAACATCATTTCAATTTAAGAATTAGATGAGAGTGAATGAGGATACGGAAAGCAAAATCGGAGAATATAAAAATAAAAAACGGCAGACTTAAGAAGGCGCGGAGAAACCGCATTTTGATAAACAATGCCCCTAATAGTTGCCGAGATTGGAAGAATTAATAAGACTATATTTCGAAGTCCAGCACCACCGGTGAAAATAAAAGGTTTCATTACTGGATAAACAAAATGACAAACAATTATCAACACTAAAAAATTCATTAAGGATGAGATTCTGCATTAAAATATGAAACAGATCAGCTTAGCTCAGTGCCTTTTGACTTCGGTGTAAGCATGGGGTCAGAACTATGACGGAGAGAACACATACTCTCAGTAGGTTTTTATGCAGCCGAAATAAGTTAAAAGAGTAACAAGCTAATTTACCTTGCTTCCAATTTGCTCGAGTGGTGAAAGTGGAAATCATCATAGACGGAAACAAAAGGAGACACGTACCCTCAGCAACGATGGAGTCGACAGTGAAGCGCTTATTGTCAATGGCGACCTGTTTGCCTGGCAGAAGACCAACCGAACTGCCGCCGCCAACACCGCCTCCACCACCACCACTGCCGGCGACAGGAAGGTGCGTCGGACCCAAATCCGGATCATTGTGTGACAAGAGCGCCAAAATTTTCCGCATGAACCCTTCGAAGCGCCGCTCCTTTGCTCTAAAAGCGCCTTTGCAAGGGGATCTGGAGAGGTTGAACACAGCGGTTAGAAAAGCCCATTTTCTTAGTAGTCCGCTTGAAACTATCATATGATTTTTTAATGTCCTCACCACCCCTCTTTCCCCATTGATCTGCAGAAGTAGCACACAAGGAATCTTGTCTACTCACAGCTTAAATTTCCCAAATCGGAAAAGATTAATGACCATTTCTCCACCTTCCCTTTGCCTTCATCCTCACTTTACCCTGACAATTTGTGGAGACAATATGCAGTGTTTTTATTTACTTGAAATTTCATTTGAAACTTCTTTTTGTACATTTTGATAGCAACCCATAAGTGCTATTTATGCTCGAAGTTTTTGAGACAATAGCTTTCCGAGTAGGCGATGGTTAAGAACTGCTTCTCTTCACCACTCAGATAGGTAGAACGTAAGGGAATACTCTTTACAGACAGTTAAATATTTAATGGTTCAATGAGTTTCTTTGGCTGAGTAGGTTGCAAAGCAAGCATCAGTAGGGCCCGTCCTTTCGAACCTGAACTTTTACCTGAGAAGTTCAACTTTTCTTTGATACCCAAAGGTAATGTGGGTGGATTTTCTTCAGTTAACTCTTAGGTTTCAATGTCATAAAATCCAAATTATTATCTTAAACCGGGTAAAGCCTAAGGCAGGCAACGCTCTGACTTGATAGCTTTTGGCGTGAAATCAGTAGAAGCTGCCCCGACCTTAAGCAGATTATCCAAGCATTCGGTGAAAACGTGAGTACCTAAGAGTCTTCCTTTGCTGAGGTCTAAACTTGAAACAGGTCGCGTGTCCTGTCGCACGGATGACAGTGAGTTCCATTGTCCGACGAAGAAGTCACCAGGATTCTTCAGCGCCACAAAGGGGCGAAACATGATTGGCACTGATGGGCGCCATAAGAAGCAGAACTTAGCACTCATTAAAAAAGGAATCGCAGTGTTAGATCTTGTGTGCAATAAAAACTGAACCAGGCCCCTAAAGACTAATTATGTGTAAATGAAGGAAAATTTTTGTACAGTAATAACCAGAAACCCATGCTTAAGAATTTGATTTAGGATGTACCAATTACTTGCCAAAAATCAAAACATGTTCTAGAAAAGTGATAAAAATGCTTTTGAATTGAGAAGAGGCTATATTTCAGTCCATATCGCTATTAGTGGAGATATTCGACACTGAGCAAAAGGAAAACAGGCATTAAAAATATGCCAGGAAATACTGAAAATGCGCAATTCTATAAGAAGAATGCACTTCCACAGTCTTTCTCAAAAATTGCACAAACCAATTCACCTGCAACAGCTAGCACTCGGAGGCCGCATGCAACGGTGACCTTCGCTTAATTGGCCATTTAGTGTTACTAGGACGACGTGATTTTTCAATCCCTTGATGAGGTGCAAGTCTTTAGGAAAACAAGTGCAAGTTCATAAGAGACTTGATGCATTAAATGGATAATTATTATGCAAACCCAAAACCAAATTCGAACTAGCTAAACTCTCCAAGTTATATGAAGCAATGGCGCAACTATATTTATTTTCTTTAACTAGTAAGCAGCAAAATCAAGTGCTAATGCCATAGGTGAGCAATGGTTCCCAAAGTTAACAAAATTCTATTGACATCGACGGGGTCCTAATACCAAGGGTATTATGGATCTTCATTTACAAATGCTCAAATGGGCTTTTGTCATTGAAAATAAGTTGGCCTCTAATTGTTTGTTAAAAACCTTATTTTTCTTCAATCCTAAAAAAAGCGGACAACTTGTTATTAAATAGCCATCAAAAATTTTTAATAATCTGTGTAATAAAATCACGCATTGAAAACTTTTGAGTTAGCGAACACTTGTGGAGTAATTCTTTTAAATTTCAAGCCCTACATTAGATGGAATTTATTTGAATATGCATTTAGTCCTAATAATGATCCTAGAATCAAGTGAGATTATGAGGATATTTTTTCAAACAAGTTAAATGTTCCATGTTCTCTAGGAGCCCCATTTTTGGTTATAAACTTGCAAAACTTAGCCGACCTACGCTACCATTAGTATATTTTGCGGTCTTATTTACAAATTCAGCTCCAATTCACATTTTGCACACAAGAGGGGACCTATGCTTTCTTAGAAAACGGGTTATCGCTAAATCAGTGAAAACAACTTTGCAGGATGTTTTGCCTATTTTTTAGCTTGCAATTTGTGTAAAAAGGCCAATTTTGTCCTCGTTATTGTACCTTAGTTGAGTAAGCTGGACTCTGAGCCATGCCAGAAGCCATAGCCCTTCTGCATGTTAAATGTTTTTATTCTTTATAAGCGCTGCGTCTTCTAATGGCCTGAGAAAAGTCTTAGGGGGTTATGAGCTACTCATTCGGTTTTAATATACCTTTCAAATAGGAGGTAATGCTTAAATTTGAATCAGGTGAAAGAGTCGTCGTCTCCCAAGCCGGAGTGCGATTGCGGTTCCTCCCCTTTCTAAACTTTGTACTTTTTCTCCCGATCCATTTCTCCTTAATAAATATGTCGAAAGTAAATCAACCAGGTTGTTGCTAAGAGTACTAGGAACAGGAAAGAGAAGATCTATGAGTCCCGCCCTACAATTGCGTATGTATCTTAAAAGAAATTAATTGTCAAGTGAGAGCATGTCAATCGTGATGCCCCTTTTTTGGCATAGGTACCAATTTCTAGAGTAAATCATTTGCGGCACAAGTACTTTTTATGTTTTTGTTTTCTCATATAATATATTAACATTTTTAGCTTTTCGAGGCTTCTCTGAAGAAGAAAAAGGCATGGTACTTGGGCAAAATGCATATTTTAAAATTCAATATGGACTAGGGCTATTGACCAGGCTCAGAGGCCAGTTTTGTTAAACATTCCTAGATTTAAAAAAATGCAGAATACCACACTTTATGCCGTAATCGGAAATACTCTAAAAAGTGACTTTTTGGACCCACCACTTCAACTTAATATGTGATTGGTTGTTTTTAAGGTCGCCACGGCCATTTAGAGGAGTGTGAAGTTGCTGACTTATTTATTTTGAATGGGTATGCTGGCTCAGATTCTAAAGGATATGTATATTGAGCCTGAGCTCTTAGAAGAGCTTTCAGAGGAACAAAAACAAGTACTTTTTTGCTCTATGCGTCAAGTGCGTTAGTGTCTCTGTTCTTTGTATGTGAAAATTTAGGAACAAGTACGCAGATACAATGAGTGGATCCAAACCTCTCCAGGGCCTGATGAGGGTATGTTCCGCCCCATTTTGCAGGTTACGAATTGTAGTAGGTAATTGATTCTTATATTTTAGTAGTAATATGCTCGTACGACTCTTTGGGATAAATTTACTTTTCTAAACCCGATTTTACTGAGTTTTCTGGGCTTTTTTCACCCAATCAAAATGTGGTGGCCGTCATCTCCAATACTTACTGCTCGCTTAGTTTTTGATCGGATTTTGACCTTTTTACACTCGACTGGACTGCATGCCTGTTTCGCGTCATAGGAATTCTGGTTGTTTTATAATGCAATCACCATTATTTTGCGTTTGGTAGAACTTCTTGGTGTGTCTCAACTTTTTAAAGTCTGGATTTATTAGTGGTTTTTGTGGGGTGAGATTTGATGAGCACTCGAGTTTATTTCATGGTTTACTTGCTTTGCTCGTTTTCACCTTTGACTTCATTAATCGATGTCTTAAGCAATCAAAAACTTTTCTAAGTGGATGGTCTTTGATAGCTCTGATAGCCCTTAATTTTTTCCTAATAATTGCTTTGGCATTTGCTGTCGAGTTGGTTTAGCGGCACAAAACCCCTCAGATCCCATTTCCTTAATTTTTTTTAATGTTTTAGCTACTAATAAAAGTGCAACCAATCAAAAGTCCCTCCACGTTTCCTTCAACGTTGATGCAAACGGCAATGTGGTGCCTACCATCATTCCAAATACATTTGAGTAAGTTGCACTCAACATATATACTACCTGCAACTACTTCTCAAAATACCCTCATCTCTTCTACAGATCACCACCTTTATCCGACCATAGTGGCTCTTCTTCACCGTCTCTACCCTCTCCTCCCCTCCTAAGAAGCCACGCCTCCGATCTCACAGTGCGTTTTACCTCCTTCTTTTTATTCTTCGCTAATCGGCATCCCTCACTTTTAAACATACAAGTGCACAATCCCTCAACATTTGGTGCCTCGATGGTAGGGTAGGTGTGTGAGCGGCAGCGTTACATTTGACAAATATGAATATTTTCGTCTTCTCTCCTGTCATTATCAATAAAAGCATTATTTCTTGATTTCGCATTGATAGAGACTGTTTTGATAGTTTGAGCTCTTTATTGCAGGCATGTCCATCCTCCTCTTTCCACTAACAGGGCGCATTAAGATCGGCCAGAAGCTGTGGATTTTTTCAGGGTTTGACTTTTAAACAGCTTTCTCTGCATTTTATTGCCGACTGAAGGACTAGTTAGCATATTCGCCACCAGTATTACATTTACGTGACATGTATTCTTCATCCATGTACGGTGGACATTTGTGGCAAATCGTGTTGCAGGCAAATTGGTTAAATCGAAAGCAACTTCAGATCTTGATCTGAGGATGGCTGTGCTCATTACTTCTTGGTCACCTTAATTTTAGATTGGACAAATTTTCATGGATCGTGGCGGTCTTTTGTGAGCTCTTTGGATTCTCTTGTACTGTCGTCTAATGTCTTTGTTGATGAAATTGCCCTGTCCCTGTTGTTGGCGAAATTTAAATGATAAGCCACAAGAAAACTTGCTGAGTGGGCTAGTCGTATAGCATTATTTTCACTTAATCGCATATATGACAAAGCAGGAGGGGTGGGGATCACGCACACCCTTCCATCGCCCCTTGGACACGCACGCGTGCACACAGCTATCCGGCCTTGTCGGGTTTTGTTCTTCCAGTAATTAATGTGACTAAAAGGTAGTAGGGTTTGTGCAATGGATCACAAAATTTGTAGTCCGTTGACTGTCTTCGAAGTTGGACTTCTTTAGCCGAGGCTCCTCCGGCACTCTTGGTCAATTGCTCCTCTAGTGTTGGAGTTTCTCCCCGAACAGCCTAGAAGAGCTAGGATGCGTAACGTAGCAAACCGCATGGCTGAATGTGATATAGTGTGGTTTCAAAGTAACGGATGACAAAAAGCCTTTATGATGTCTTTTATCTTAAACACGAAACCTTCAAAAGCAAGTTTGTCGAAGTCTGACGAAGGTTTTATGAATAACACCGATATGACTCAAGCCAGGCACTCCGCCCTATGCAGATTCCTTAATTAACTGCCGCGTAAATGTTTTCAATCCATTTTACCATAACTCACTGGGCTTTTGCGCCCTTCACCTTTTTACGGTTCATGCTTCATGGGCTCCGATCCATGTTTCACCAAAAGGTACACTTTTTATAAGTTCAAAAAACCAGTGGGAGTGCTTTATGCTTACAAGTGCTAAGTTTTCAAGAATCTCACATACTTTCACCCTAGAAAACAGGAACAATAAAGCCAAAAACTTGTTTCAGAAGCCAAAAATGTGAATCCCTTTTTGCCCTCACCTCATTGTTCAAACCTCAGTCTCTTAGTGGTTGTTGAGGTGTTTTGGCACCAAAATCGTTAATTCGTCTTGAATTGGCTTAATCTTGCTGCTTAGTCTGAAATTCCCATTTATGAAAATTATTCAAACAGTTGTAAGACCTTTAAAAAGCCCGTAACTGCAACTTATGTGGATGGAGAGCTGAGTGAACCAGTGCTACTCCTGACATCGGCAGAGAGGGCGACAAAGCCATCCTTGATTTTGAAACGCAGTCAGTAATCAGCAGAATTCAAATCCGCTCAGATTTCCGTAAGGTAATGTCTCGTTAATGCGGCTCAGTGTATTCCTGGCATTTGATGCGTGCCTTATTTCATTTGTGATGCCCTCCTTTCAAAGTTATGTTGAGAGAGAATCTTGGTTCGCCTTTAGCAGGGAACTTGTCTCTGAAGGCTCAGATGATTATAAGTAGCTTACGTAGAGACCGACACGAAAGCTGACCAACCATTTATCAAGTGGGCTGTGATGCAGGCGACTACAACAAGCTGCAGGTCATTGTGACTAATGGAGTTGAAAGCATAGAATTGTCATTACTGTGTCATGATGTCACGAGTTAGTGGACCCCTCGAAACTAAGTTTTATCCAAATCCCCGTATAAAATTCATTTCGTGCGGGTGTGTTTCTTAGCGTGTAACCTGATCGGATGGTTTACCACGATACACCTCCTGTGAGCTTTTCCAAGTGTTCCAATGTTGTTTTCCTGTGCATAGTCCTGTCAACTTTTTTCCACTGTGATCAAAACATAATAGGGATCTTTCAGGAAACCACAGACCTTGAAGTTCATTAGCACTAATACTTTCAACCTCCGCAAAGTCTTCAAGTGGAGATTTTTTGGCACTCAAGCGTTGGAGGGTTAAGCATTTGCTCCACATTAGAGGTCGTTACGCTGGTGACCGATTTTGTCATTGAAACAGTTGTGGGTAATTAAAACTCACTTCAAATTCACGAAGGTTCCCTGATATCATGCCACGTGGTGAGCCAAAAGGTCATGACTAGTACCAACTTGGCTCACCTCAGAGAGGTTAACGCCTTTACGGAGTCATGAATTTGGCAAGTGAACATCTTATGTAGTCTTGGCAAGATGCACTGTAATTTTAAGAGCCAACGCTTCATGGATGCCTGTCTATTAAAAATTTTATAATGAAAAGTGAGTCTTTTTGCTACCATTGGTCAATTTCTAGGATTATGGTGTATTTCTCCCTGTCCTTTTGCCCCTTAGTAGGACTGGCTTTGAAAGCGGTCTCAAATAACTTCGCTAGATCGGTTAACGTGGCAGAAATGGTTGGGCTTTGTTTTATTTCGTTTTCTAGGGTCGTTTGAGTAATTGTTAAAAAATGTACGTTTTCAACTCAGTGAAAGGGTGATGGTGCTCTTTGAATGTATTCCTTTCCCTAATAAAGCATCTTTTCAACGATTGTATTAGGAACTCGTAGATGGTTTTTTCAAGGGGGAAAATAAGGCCCCAACATTATTGGCGCCTCTTCAAACGACGCTTACTAGAGCCCAGATACCAGGTCCTCAAAATTGTTTTTTCGCGAAACCCAGACAAAACGGAAGGTGAACTTTATTTTACTTCATTAGCTGATAAAATTGAGAGGGACCTATTCCAATGTCTAGGTTGAAGAAATGACCAAAAAGCGGGGCCCTCCATCTCTTCG